TTAATTGTCTCTGTAAGTAGTCAGTTATGTCATTGTCAGAAGTTTAGGTGTTCCAGTCCTAAGGTTGAGGACATCTCTGTCCTGTCAACACAAGCAGAAAAAATATTGTCCCATATATAGTAACTAGGGTAGGAATCTTTATGTTACATTATAGTTTAGGGCAGAATGTGAACTAAAGAGAGAGTACTCAAATGCCATGGCTGCTGAAGAGGAGTTATTTTGTTTTCTGAATAATGCTTCAGCCAAATAAGTTACGGTCCCCTTTTGAGCAGAGACGCTGCATTGTGTTAGTATTTAGAACTTCACCAACTGGATCTCTCTGACAAAATAGATGGCTCAAAACTAAGTTGGGAGGATCTACTCTGTTTAGTTAGTGGGCTTCCCATCAAATCATATCTCTCATTAGTTTTAACAGGCAGTACCAAGATCCAGCTCTTAGTATGTTAATGAATGTATATATCCCATATACTCATTGGTGGGATGATAGCCCCCTCCTCCCCGCAAGTCTGTACAGCAAGTAAATAAACATCTGATCCTCAGCAGGTGATTAAGCAAGATTAATGTCAATTTTGTTCTTTCATTTTAAGTAGAGACTGAACTTTTGAAGCGGATGAGCAAAATAGCCTACCATAAAAGATAATTTCATTTGCCAAAATGAAACTACCTTCCAGTATTAATGTTGTAATGAAATAGCTTGAAATATGAATCAAGGATCTTCGGGGAAAAGATGCCCACTGTTCTCATTTTGAGTAGTTAGTTCTATAAACAATTACATCCAAGTAAAGAGCTTTATGATTTTATTTTCATCATTGGCAGGCTGAACTGTGTAGCTGTCATACTTTGCAGTCTTCCCTCCAGTGACAACCACATTGACAACATGTTATACTCCACATTGATTTTACAGTTAAGGAGCTGATTGTGATATATAGGGATTTTAAGAATTCAGCTGAGAGGCTGACTTTTGCCTTTTATCATTCCATTAAAATTTTATAACCATCTTTTTCATGTCATTTCATCCATGAATTCTTACTTTAGAAAGTGATAGCTACTGCTGTGAGCATAACTTTTCTCATGTTCAGAGCTTTTTATTGTATTAGCAAACTACCCCAATTATAGTTAATACTCATGTTTTACATAATTGTGGTGACCCTTTCAACCAAGTAGTATCATGCTAGTTGATTTGTAAATAGAATTAGATGATTCTGCTTGCCATTTAAAAGGAAACTACACTATGTGAGTGTTGGGGACCAGTATTTAACGCTTCCCTATCCAGTGGGGCCAATTAACCATCTCTCAAATGTCTTGTTTGAATTGAGAGAGTTTTAAGTGTCTCTCTTCTTAAAAGGGCAGTGGGGAATGTACAAGTAGATGCACTAGCTATGAAAAAATACACTTTTTAAAAAAACAATACAAAACTGAAGTTAAGCATCTGTTCCTATATATTAGAACAGATCATCTTTAAGGGATACAAGCTCTGTTGGGGTTTAAAGCACAAGTTCATCTAATTATCACAAATGGTTTACGTATAATTCTTGCAACTTATTCAGTAGAAATAAAGGGCTTATCCTTCAATCACAACA